CTGAAGTTATCTGTGTGTTTTGGCGGGTGACGGCTGGCTAGCTACTCACCGCTTCTGAGCGCTGACCTGGATAGGAGGGCATACTTGGCCCGGGACGGCAGCTATATGCCCCTCACTCAAACAAGTTGGACCCTGATAACAGTGACGACAATCTGTCCATGACCTCAGCATCAGTAGAAACACTACTTTTTACTAGCACTGACAACCAACAGGCCGCTTTCGCCTGTTGTCTGGAGGCGGCTGCGGAGAAGGATCTAGACTGCCTTTGACGTTAAGTCACTGCCTTTAGCCTTGCCCTGATTGAACAAGACCTGCCTGGAAATCGCTTCCAGTCACCACTACTAGCATACTGTGCTATAATTGCTGTGCACAATAGCCGCTATAATAGTTGGCGGGAGCCCGGCAATTTTAACAGCTCTCTTTCGGGACTTATTTACTGTGCCCAGTTGTGGACCCTTCACTGGACCTGTGAGGTGGTGGACTAAGACACTAGTTGTCTTGCTGATAATGTCCTGGCTAACTATTGCCACTGTTGGTTGTGGCAGGAATGTAGTATAACCTTTAGTATTATCCTGAACTGGTGACTCATGCTGTTCAATGTCGCTAAGAAACAGGTCTCCAGTAAGATAGCGACATGGTCTCTTAATGGCTTAGAGGTGAGTTATCAGGGAACCACTATCTGTATAGAGTATATCAGTCAACTCTACCGCTGAACACTGGCCTGAGCTCGGCTTATTCTTAAACATGATCTCTTGCTGGGCGCTAACTACCTCTTGCGGCCTACGGCCGCGGTACTACGGGAAGGGGAGCATCAATATAAAACAGGCTGGTGGTTTGGTTTAGACAAGCGCAACTACCCCATATTTAATGGTTGAGGCCAACAGTTGCTCAAGCATATCAAGATAATGCCGGCCATTCAGGCGCAATTTCTGTTTGATGGCAATCAATAGCGGCCTACCGCGGTAAATTTATTCCGGCACTATATTTAAGAGTGGCTGGAATGTATGTTTATACTCTTTCAAATTCTTGCGCCCCTATTACGTGGCCCTAAGCTTATATCTGTGACAATGTGGAATACAGACAAACTCTATAGTGTCTTGCTCAAGTATAGCTGAGTGATGTTCTACACTACCTACTATAAGGGCCAAGCCCAGTGGGGCTCCTATAAAGACAATATCCGGTTTGGCACTGCTGGCATGAGTGACGAATTAATCCTTTTTATGGCACATGTGGTGCCACTGCTGTAGATCTTTGAGTGGCAGGATGGCTGTTGACTATCCCCCTATCTGTGGAGCAAAAATAGAAAGGTGTGGCACAAAGCCATGCTGACTCCTATTATGCGCAAGATTTGCGCGCTTACTAAGGTGCCCAAGATGTCCGAGTCCTATTAGTGTCAACTCAGTGCCTCGATCCTGAAGATGAAGTTTGGTGTTGATTAGCCTCTCTTCAAGAGTGTCTTAGACTATGTGGAGTATAGTAACAGCCCTGAGAATGATGGCAAGGAAGAGGATGTGGTGACACTGGCGCAGATATTTAATCATAGCGTCTATACCTATTATTTTGTGTACGCTAATGAGACCAGCTTAGTGGTGGCTAATGTATAGGATAGGCTTATCAAGTGTGCGCATCATGCTTCCACGCTCTAGGCTAACTTCTTTGGCTTTGACGCCCTTGGTAATACTAAGGAGATCGCTGGTTGCTGCAAGTGTCCACAAGAGTCTAATAATAACAGTCGTGGAATTCTCAAAAGTATTTGCCTGGCAATTCCCCGTGTGTAACAACACTGGACCAGTCGCGCCCTTCTTTAGGAAGCACGCAAATTGTTCGGCAATCCTCGCCTGCAATGGCGGTGCATTAAACAAGAGCAGGCTGTCTGTGCGGCTATGTCTGGCGCAATGGAAGTGTCTGTGGTCATGGCCACTGGCATAGGCAAGACCATGGTATATCAGCTGCTGTGCAGTCTCCCTAATACCCGCATCACGGTGCTTATACTGCCGCTTGTTGCGCCTCGCCTTGATCTGATTTGTTACTGTTATAAGTTGGGAATTCGCTGCCAGGAATAGTCTCCTGACTAGTATCTATGGGCTTTATTAGTGCTAATAAGCGCGGAGGCGGGTAGTTTGGATAAGGGTCACTAGTACCTCTGGCAGCTCTACCATGCTAAAGAGTTGGACCGGATTGTGTTTAACAAATAGTATCTTAGCTTGACGGCGCTGCACTTTTGGCGTGTTATGGCCCAGCTGCCTCTGCTCTGTAGTATCCCTGTCCCCTTTATCTCCCTGACGGCTATGCTGCCTCCCCAGCTCCAGCCGGCGCTCTACCGGCAATTTCATATGAGTAAGGTGCTGGAGATTCGCGCCAGCACCTGGCGTGCTAATATTGGCTACCACATCTATTGACTCTCTACAGATGAAGAAGATCTACCTGAACCTACGGTTGCCTTCTTGTGTCAGTGGTGGGAGGAGTATCACCTGTCACTCTTGCCGTCGGACTGTATTGCAATTTTCACACGCTCCAAGGAGGAGGTAGACCAGCTTGCTACCGCACTTAGCTGCGAGCGTTACCACACCGACGTTAGGAACGCGGAACACAAGGGTTAGATTCTTTGCGGGTGAATAAGCAAGGGCTCATCTCCCTTCCTTGTGGGGATATTAGCATTGGGCGTGGGTCTTGACTACCCTCATGTCCGCTTGGTGGTGCATATGGACCAACTGTATGGACTCATAGACTACACCCAAGAATCGGGTCGCGCGGGTCAGGATAGTGCTGTAGCCAAGGCGCATATTATTCTCCCTTACTACTGGCGCTTATCTGGCTCAGCAGTTGTGGGTGGCGATAAGACGGCACTTGATAGCATGCTATATAGCGCAGGTTGTATTTGGGCGGCTATTGCTGGCTATATGGATGAGGACATCCACTATGGTTGCTGTGGTCCTGAAGAGAAGGTGTGTAGGCCTTGCTCTGTCAACAAATCTGTTGTGACATGTTCCTCAGTCAAATCAGAGGCACCAAGTAGCCAGTGGACTTATTAACATAGTTTAGAGGGTGGACTGTCTCTGTTACTCTGTTGTGCTCAAGAAGATCAGGTTAAACTAACTAGATACTAACATACACTTAAGGCGCTCCGCGACAGTTATATTATCTATTAACTCTATAGGCGGGAAGAATAGGACCACACATTTGGTGCCTGTTAAGAAGTCCACTGTTAGGAGTTTATTGACACAAAACATAATGTGCTCCAACAAACCTGTTAGCGGTGGATCTGACTGTACAATACCTATTATTATTGCTTTCAACCCCAGAATATCTATAGACAGGTAGCGGGCGCTAGACAGTGTGAATACAGCGATCTCATTATGCAGTCTGTCTTTGGTGTGTACTGGCAGGAGGAAGCCAGCCAGTGGTTGCGGCAGGAGTTTAGCATGCAGTTCTCCAGCCTTAAAGACTGTCTTGTGTGGGCTGGTCAGTCTGCGTAGATAAGTAGGGCGCGCTGTGTAAATAGAGTGCTTATACTCACTCGTGTAGTAGCGCGACTAGGCGATTAGGGGTTGGTAGTGTATAGCATGTGCTTACATCCAGGCAAGAGAAGACTTACTGTTGCTGTTGTATCTTCATATCTAGGCTGGCTACTCTGTAAGGTTACGCCAACAAGTTCCACACAAGGCAACTATATTCCAGGTCTGTCCTTTATTGATGTATCTGGGTGTGTCAATACCTGTGCCCACACTAATTTCAACTATGGCACCTGTCCCGGTCCACAAGGACAAGAGCAATGTTTGTAGCCAGTCGCTCACATATGTCAGAGAGGGTACCTTTGGAATAGATTGGTCTCTAGAAGGGAGCTTAGCGCTGCAGGTATTTCTCAGGTCTTAGGCACTGAAGGCCTACTTAACCTCCTATTTAACCTCCCCTTTTGTGATCTATGTCCCCACAACCGCACCACAAAGCACAACACAAGAAATTAAACACAAAAAGGGCGTTAAACAACAGACAAGGACAACTGACGTGTCGCGCACAACTGCGGGATGGCACCACACTCCAATTGCCTTTTCCAGAGCAGCATCAACTTCTGACACGTGTCCAGGCATGTCTAGAACAAGCATGCTTCAATTTCAGGAGACAGTACCTTTAGCGGAATTTAGGCGCTTGGGGGTGGCAACATGCAGAGCAGGGTGAACTCAACAAATGGGTTGCGGTGCTTGGTGGGAAGGAGGATGTGATCCAGCAACATGGGGTGATGCCTAAGACACGACAATTTTGACAAATGCTGAAGGCGATACAAGGGTTGCGCTATGTGGTGGTGCACCGCCATGATGTGAGCCTAGAGGAAGTCCTTTGACTCCTGGCGGAAGGGGTGGAGCTGGCACGAGTCTTACAAGACAGTGAATGTGAGCAGGAACTCTTGGAGCTACAGGACTAATACATGAACAGGTTAGAGAATAGACCTGACCCTAGTATGGAGAGAGCTACTGTCAGCGGCAAGAAGGAGACGATTGAGATCTCATCTGACAGTGATACAGAGTGTTCAGATACATGGACTGTGATGGTGTCCAACAATAGCAGTGACACGTTAGTGGGACCGGAGGAGCGATAGAAACAGTGACAAGGAAGGGTCGGGTGCCGTTAATAGGGCTGATGTGGCTACCCCGACGAGTGGAGACTGAAACATCTGAAAGGGAATTTTATGGTGATTAAGTCTTTATCCTCATGACTAACCCTATTGGCAACTAGCTGGGTCCGATTGGCCTGCCATTTGGATCTTATCCCCCTCGCGAGCTCTGCTTAAAATACGTCTCTAGCTTTCCACGTAACGGCGCGGTTAAGGAGAACAAAATCTGTTCCACTATGCGAGGGATCAATTCCTGGGCCAGCTACAGGACGGTCTTAAAAAGCTGGGCAGCGGTGGGGCTCTAGAAGAATTTAGGGTCCACATGAAAGGCATACCAGTCTACTATTAAGTGTTAGATAGGAGACGTTTCTAGAGCCTGCTTAAAGACCAATTACATAGCTAGCGGCTGCAGGGTCCAGTCTTCACCATAGTAATAAAACATGACCTGAATAATGTCCTGTTTAAGACCATTGGTGAAGTACTTGTTAGCGAAGAGGTAAAGCTTGATAAGCATGGTAAAAACGGCGTTACCTGTCCCAGGCAGATCATATGAATTGAAGTACAGCTATTTTGTGAAGTGGTTAACCACTAACAGGTTGTCCTCAGGCAGCTTAATGCGGCGTTTATGTGATTCTTTAAAATCAGTCTGGAGAGCCTTGGTGAAAAATGCGGCGGCTCTGCACAAGGGTTTCTTGTGGACCATGAATGAGACTTTCTCCTTGCCCACCACCAGCTCCACTATTGGTGAGTCTTGGAAGGAGAGCAGGTCGGGTACCAGGCGTTGGGAAATAGGTCGGTCCGCCATTACATTCTAGCGATGGGTGTCTTGTGACTGGATACATGGGGGTATCCTGGTAACATTGTGTTGTCTTACAAAGGTTCTTCTGTACTTGGCAGGAATATAGTTCCTACAATAATAACAGCAGGATTGCGGCTGAAAAGACCCCCTCCCTGGGACATGTTCTTAGCCCCGCCTCTTTAGGCTAGCAGTTTTGGCCTCCTCTTTATCACTTCTATGGCTGGACTAGATATAGGTGACTACCAGAGAGAATAGAGACAGTACATCTGACGCCATTGGGATTGATCAATACTAATTGACTGTGCCATCCACAGTCTTGTATAGACAGAGCACATTTGTGTTCGCGTTGGGGAGGATAGTGTTAAGTACTGGATGTCGCGCGGGCTCCTGTGTCGGTCACAGGTCTTTGTTGAGAACTACCACCATCAATCTGATCTTCCATTTCAATTTTGAGATGTGGCCCTAGACATCTTTAACCTCTTCTTTGACTGGTTGTACACCTAGGATGGCTCGTTTCTCTCCTGCCTGGTGGCTAATAAAGGACTTCAGTTACTGTAAATGGCTCAGATCTATAAGATTGTGCCGCTGGTGAACCGCATGCGTGACCTTTTCTGACAGCAATTCTTGGATGGATCTTGGACGGTGACTCCTGGCATTGTGAAGGCCGGCTACACCATGTCACAGCCGAAGACCTGTACGCGCGACCTGTTCGCCTGATCGCTGGCCATGAGCGACACTTTGGTGGAAGGGAAGAAGAAAAAGAGTGCTGTCAGCACGGCCGCCTGGGTAGCCCTTATCAGGATGGTTGATGGATTCGCAGAGGACTGGACGCTGGTGAGCTTGCACAAGCGCTCTCTTCTCTCTGAGACATCTGTGTGCTATTTTCACGAACATCAGGTGGTAGAATGGAGCGGGTTGAAGCGCCACCGGCTGATGATTTATCAGCTGTGCCCTTAAGTGTTGAAGGAGTGGTTTGCGTTCTTGTGTCTGGACAGGGGCGAGTGTTGGGACTTGGCGACAGTGGTGGTACAGGGGTATTCCAAAGCGTCTGTGGACACAATAGACGCTGTGCCACTGTTACCTTCGCCTGAGGAGGAGGTTGAAGTGGCGGAGGTACCGGAATCGGAACCTGATACGAACTTAGAGCTGGACTCTGTCCTGGCCGGTCCCAGTATGGGAGACAGCACTGATGGAGCCGGGTTGGCTGATGTGGACCCCGACTAGATCCCGCTGTAGCCTGTATCCGTCATCTGTAGAGGGACTTATTATATAGGATAGGTAGCGCCCTGGTCTAGGAAGAGTATTGTGTATCCGCCCCACGACCCGGTCTGTGCACACTATTATCAATATCCCCTTCCGCTAAGCCCTTAAATGCTCGGATATCGGGCTTCGCTGTGACTGTCACATGGGATCCGTTCGCTCGGTGTAGACACGGGAGCAGAGGGGAATCGGACCCACGGTGGGAGGAGGAGATGACTATCACGTGACGCTAACCCTAACCCTAACCCTATACTTTGCCCAAGCCCCGGGTAGCGCAGCTCTTAGGGTTAGGGTTAGGGTTAGGGTTAGGGTTAGGGTTAGGGTTAGGGTTAGGGTTAGGGTTAGGGTTAGGGTTAGGGTTAGGGTTAGGGTTAGGGTTA